TCTCTCACTAGCACACTAATCTCAGTAGGTTACAGCAAGGACATGAGAGGGGGGGGGGAAAGAGTTCTAGCTGACAAAGTACTGACGCAAAAGAGCAAGGATGAAAGTTTGTCATGATATATGAACACTGCCGCTCTGAGATAAACATTTACCCCCTGAAAGTGCACCTGCAACCTCATTTAGACTCGCGTCTCCGCTCATATAACGTCTACGCAGCGTGCTACAAGTAAATGCACGGAAAGCAGCAGAAAGCCTGCGCCTCCACAGTACGTTTTCTGAGGATGTACACTTTGAGAAGAGCTAAGCTGCAGAATCACTAAGCGCTTTCATTTGCAGCTGAAATACAGCCCAAGGAAAATGGGAAGCCTTTGGTATGAGGAGTCTCTTTTCTCTCCTCTCTCATCTCTTTTTATTTTCTTCTCTGCTCTGTTGCTCGGTTGGGCTTTCACTGAACTCGCAGAGCCACGTTACCTCCCTCTTTTTTTTTTTTTCTTTTTAATGGGAGAGTTTGGAAATGAGAGCTGGTTAAAAAAAAACTGTATCTCACTTTTCTCTCTGTCTCCCCCGGCTGGTGTTTGCCAGAGATAAGCTTAGTAAAGAGTGTCTCTGTCTGCATGTCGACATAGAGTATACACCTCAGTGGCCGTGTCATTCATCTCTCTTTATTGCTGGAGCTTGTGTGTGTATGTGTGTATGCCTAACTTGTAAAAGATTCAGTTCTCTGTGGAAAAGTTTAAACTTTAAAACCGTGACACACATGCTTTGCTGTACATCTCTTCCTGGCTTTACGGACGGAGATGCCCCCCCCCCCCGTCCCTCTGCTCTCAGCTGCAGCCCTGGCATCGTGCCCTGTGTTTCATAGTGCTAGTCGCCAGAGTGATCCGGCTTTCATGAAGAGTCCTTCAGCCTAGGTGACATCATTAGCTGGTTGTGGGCCACTGCAGGCCACTTGGCGCCCGCAGTGCTTTACTTCTGGGAAAATAGGTCATTCTGAGTGACGGGCAGACAGTGGCCGGGGGAGCTGGCCAGCAAACTAGATAGAGGGGCTATGCCGTGTGGCAGCGCGGTGATGCCCTTCAGACACCTGTGTCTGTATTCACAAAGCATTTTATCTCTCAAGCAGAAGAACGTCTGAAGAGCCCAAAACTGTTTTTTGTGAGGAGTTTTCGCCAAGAACACAAATCTCAGGCCGGCTTTAGCGAGCTGACCCTGCTCGCTAAGAAGTTTCCCATCCTTCTTAGAGAAACTTAGGATGGACATGACTGTATGGCTAAGAAAGTTGGTAAAAATGATTTTTAAAAATCCAGTTGATTTTTTTCAAGCTCAAACAATTAGTTAGCGGGGCAATTATTTTGATAATCAATTCATCTCTATCGTAATTTTTCATCTAAATTGTGAGAATTTGCAGCTTTCCTTTGTCATATGTGATGGTGAAATAAATATCTCTCAGTATTGAGTTGCTGGTTGGATAAAACAAGCAATTTGATGATATCACCTTGCACTTTAGGACATTTTTCACAATATTCTGAAGCTTGTTGATCATTATTATTACTGAAAGGGAATTATAGTGAATTGCAGCTCTAAAATGGACACTAAATCTTATTGAACATCAATCTTTTTTTCCCAAAAATAATTATAATAGCAAAGCACAATGACAAAACCTGATCCATATATTGAGTAAAAATCCCCAAGGGGATTAAAAACTGAGGATTGAATTTTAAATAAAAACATTTAATCATCATATGATGAGGTGTGCGCAAATTGACCAGATTTTAAATAGGAACTTCTGGTATAAAGTTATTACATTGTCAGTGTGATGGGGCACTGTCTGGCAACTGAAAACCTTGCCATTTTAATTGATTTTAACATTATTTCTAACCCAAATCAATACATCCTGTTCTACAAGCTTCCAACAGGGGTCAATGGACAATCAATCGCATTAAACAACATATTTTCAGAAACCATATCTACATATTGATGAGCCAAAACTGCAAAATTTTAAAGTTTAAATTCTGGTAAAAATGTAATATGATGCATTCACATAAAATGCCTCTTATGATGTTTTATAGTTGCCAGATGGAGTAAGCTCCACCCAGCAGGTTAAAACAAACACAATGATTTCTTTGTGAGTACAAATTGACCCAGATCTGATACAGCCTGTACAAAAAAAAATGATTCACATTTCTGGGCCTCCTGCACTCACTCTGCGTCTGCTGAAGGGAGGCAGAGAATTACGGGAAGTCAGAGAGATGTGGTTTGCAGGAAAGCTGGACCTGAAGAGGCCGGAGAGCCGTCTCATCCATCTAACTGTCAGCAGCTCACCAGGCAAAAATCACCAACTCTTCCTGTCTGTCCCTTCCCTCACTTCCTCCCTTCCTCCCTACTTCTCCATCTCTGCCTTGTATTGGCCTCTATACTTTCACACACGCACACATATACAGTGATATATGCAGGCACAAACACACACACCCCCGCAGCACAGTAGCTGAACATTGTAATTTTAGCACAGCAGCTGTTTTTGCCTGCCATAAAAGTGACACCCCTCTGGCTCTTCTCTCACTTCCTCCTCCTCCTTCCTTCTCTCCATCCTGACTCCATCCCTGCATAAACACAATGTCCAGCCATTTGTCCATATATACTGTGTGTACCTCCCAGGCTGCTGCTTTAAACAGAACATACAGAGTCCAAGTGCATCAGCTCTCCTTAGCCATTCGCAGACTGCCTGCAGCTCAAAATATATGCAGAAATGTGTGCGTGTGTAATAAGTGTGCGTGTCGATGTCTAAACTTTGCTTGAACCAGTCTGTGAGTGTTGCAAGTTCAGGGAAACTGTAACTTGAAAATGTGTCATAATATCACACACAATTCTTTAGCTGTAGTAAAATATCACCAAATATTAAAAAGGGTTTCCATGAAAAGTGAAACATACTATTCAGACGGGCTCTTTTCTCATGACCAACAGGGTGGTGGCAACAGAGTTCCCATGGCAACCACACAACTCCCAAACCCTGACCCCCCTCACATCTACTTAACAATCCCCCAGATGCCTAATTGTTTCCCTAATGACGCTTGGTCTAATGGGACTGTTTATGGTATTCATTTGATAGAGCTGGCCCAGTAATTAGACCACACCTCACTTCATTTAACAGCAGGGGGGAGGGATGGCGCCTGGTGGCACATACAGAATGTGCACGTGCAACAGCACAAGTGAATTTTTGAAAGGCAGCCCCGATGATGGAAGCACACACACACACACACACTTGAAGAGACATACACAGAGAGCAGCTACAGATGCATGAGACTCCTGCGTTCGAGGGGGATGGTGATGGCACTTCACATTCAGAGTAGTAAATTTCTCCCAACCGATTTTATCAGCCGATATTGGCCTAATACATATACATGTATATCTTATATATTCTCAGATATGCGCTGATATGATAACTTTTATTAATAAGCAATAATGCAGTGGAAATGCTCAGGTCAAGTCAAGTTATAAAGGCAGCATTTTATATATATTTGATCTTTTGTTTTCATTCAAGTTAATAATAAAATATATATATATCTATATATATATATATATAGATATATATATATAGATATTGGCCGATATATCGATATCTGAATTTTTTTACTCCCTAATATCAGTATCAGCATCGGCCCCCATTGGCATCGGTCGAGCTCTAATTTCTTCAATAGTAATGCTTATCAGTGTCTCTAACCATTAGTTCCAGTGTCCTGTATAGTTTTGTCTTGCACTGGCAAAGGCCTTCGATCAATACCAATGAGTTCTCTCCAAGTGAAAAAGATGCTGAACCTGTGGTGGTTACTTATCGTAACACCCTCCGGATAAGAGACTCAGCAAAATGCCTTGAGTGCAAATGTAAAGTGGCCTCCTGTGTCTCGAAAGTACAAGAAAAAGTCTCTTTGTGAGTGAGCATCATCATCAAGGAAGGTGTGGATAGCAACGCTGATAGAAGACAGTCATTACAAAAAGTCTATTTGGCCTCTCCCCTGAACATACACTCAGTTTATTAGGTACACTTCACACTTCATGAATGAAAGCCCTATTGCAGAACTGTGGTGTTAGTGCATCAGTTTTAGTTAGGTGTCCATAATAATCTGGCGAATCAATATAGATCTTGCACACTTAATTTATATTTGCTGTATTTGTGAAAATAAGAAGAAAAGATGTGATTCAAATGTATGTCTGTCATTCAAAACAGAGATACCTCTACTTGTGCTTAATCCATCTTTGAAAAAAAAAGAGTGGAAATAAGGAGAAACAGATCAATCCAAACATTTCTAAATCTGTCTAATTTGAGTTCTTCATGTCTCTTAAGCGAGCAAACTAATTTCTATTCAAGAAACAGCAGGGTACTGCTCAGAGCTATGAAAATTGCAAAGTCAGCCAACCTCAGCTTTGGAGTAGAAAGCATGTTTACATACTGTGGCTGTGCTAGCTGTTTCTCTGCATGCAGGGTGAGAAAAAAAAATTAACTATGCTCCACAATCTGTGGTGCTGGAATATTCAAGCCCTGTCTCTCTTTTTACATCCAACTTTTCAAACCTTTTTCATTTGTGACCCTGAATCTTTGTTTCTCTCTGTGTCTCTGTCCATGGTGCTGAAACTTTCCGGCCTGCTCTACTTTGGTATCTATCTGTGGTGCTAGAAACGTTCCAATCCTCTTTCTTTAGAGTAAAAACGTGAGTAAAACTGAGATAGAGAGGATATAGAATGAGTCATTAACCGAGACACAGCCTTCAACTCTAACAATGCTGCTAAAACATTCCAACCCAGGTCGTTCATTTCTTTGTCACTGTTCATGACAGAGAAATACTCAAGGGCTGTCTGTCTCTCTCCATGGTCCTGAAGCTCAGGCCTTTTCCACGTTTCACATTCAAACATACAAAGTCTTTTTCGCTTTCCATCTACCCATACAGATACAGTTGTGAGCACCCACTGCAAAAAACAAACCAATACAGCTCCACTTTGTTTCATACCTTGAGGAAGGAGAGGTTGCGGTTTCGATCGATGCTGGTGATCTCCAAATTGCCCATGACAACTTCACAGTTCTCGTAGAGCTTCTTCAGGGTGCGGTACTGCTGGTCCAGGTCAGACAGAGTGCTCAACTTGTTCTCTGTGCCAGGGCAAACTAGAGGCAGAGACAGAAGAATCAGTCCATTAAAATATGACGACACATTGGAAAAAGTTCAACCTCAATGGGCTGAGTCACAGAGCCATAGATTTCAGAATAAGTTAATGAAGAGAGAATTAAAATGCAAGGGAAGTACTTTGGTAAAACATGAATAAAAAGTGTAATGAATGGCAGTCATTACATTTAATTCCACCAAGCTGGATGTCTTTACATATGGTAGGTTACGATACTGTAGCTGCTCAAGACAACAAGCTAAAACCAGCTAACAATATAGGTTTAACAGCATTTTTTTCAGTGAATAATTGATGTAAAATATGACCCATTCCTTTTCACCACAGTTTTTCTATGGGCTTAAGTCTAGCAAATGGACTGCACTTCCAGGGGGTTTAACTCAAATGCACGGTTCAAGAGCTGCTGTACAGCAGATTTTCTGAAAAATGTTAGAATCAGTAATATAATGGAAGAGAGAAAGAGGTCAGAAAAGATGAAGAAACATTCTGGATTGGAGATTTTTGGATTTGAGACTATGCAAAGTGTGAAGGACAGAGAGAATAGTGGCAGGGAAAAAAAAAGGGTCGCGACATTACGTAAATTGCTGGAAAGAGTGCAGAGTGCGGCAGACGTGACCCTCAACAATGAGGGAGCCGCAAGAGTGAAGGGACGAGTGGGGTGAGAGGGGTGGATATCATTTCTCTGAGGCAGTGACCTACAGTCTGGGTCTGGCACCGGCACACTGTTTAATCAAAGATATTCAAATTGCATTGGTTGACCTTTACAGAGGGTTTCACTTGGAGACTTTACTCGGCTGACGAGATTACAAGACTTTGAAGATATTATGGCGAGTGGAAACAGCTCAATTGGTGTGGGGGAAGGCCAGGCATATTAGAACGGGTGGAGCTTTACTGTTGGTTGTTGCCACACACACACACACACACACACACACACAAACAGAACCATGAAAGTGCAGACACACACACAGTCAACCACACCTGTCTCTCACATCTTTGACAGCTTCCAACATTTCCTGGCAAACATCTAATGGCAATGACGCCTTGAACTACTGCCCATCTACACTGAGATCCAATTATCACTTCAGCCTTTAGAGGGTGCAGAAAATGATTCAAGGCACTAATAATGTTGGTCTACATGGTCAATTTGCACATAGGCTTGACTGAAGTCAGAGAGCTGCTGTATGTATCATATCAGCAGAATAAGAAATGAGAAACATGTCATCCTTAAAAGCAACTGTCAAAATGTGTTTGAAACATGCACAAAAGCCAAGGGAAGGTGTGAATGGCTGACAAAAGAGGACACGAGTAAAGAAACAATTCTTCATCTCCTCTTCAACTCTCTGCAAAAACGAGTTAAAAGCATACAGATTCTGTAAATAATTTTTTGCTTGACTGCAGTGGGAATGCTAAAAGCATGAAAAATGGTCTAATACATCAGCTACCACAGTTATAGCCCACCCATCAAGCACTCTGTCCGTCCCTGCCGGCCTTTCCACCAGTTAGCCTGCCTCCCCAGCCTCAGTCCTGCAACCAGCTGTTCCGTTCAGCTGGTGCCATCACCGCGTTACCACGGGCACGACTGGAGGTTTGTGTGTTGGGGTGTGTGGCAGGCACTGGAATGGAGTTTGGCTCAATGTAATTTAAATGCTCATGAAAGTTTGTCGCTGGCTCCAGTTTGAATTGACCTTACTTTTACAGCTGAATATCAGCTCTGTGAGCTACAGCAACTTTCAACGATTATGGACTGTCAAATATGGCTAATATTCCGTTGCTTCTTCTAATATTAAAAATAAATATTTCGAGCTACACATGCTCAGCCTAATTTTATTCAAACTTTTAGCTAACATAAAACAGAAATAAAACCTTCACATTTCCGCAGAGAACTCAAACTGGATTGACTGGCTTTTAGGATTTGGACCAGAACATTCTGGCAAACAGGTGTCTGAGTGTAGTTTCTCTCTCTCTCCAGAGGCTACAGTAGCTTTGCAGTACTTCAACTTTAACCACTGTAAAACGATACTTCAGGTTCTTCTTTTGAAGCTAGGGAAGTAGCTGCCACTTATTCTTTAGTATTAGATTCTGGTCATTGTTAACAATTCAAAGACACATGTACTTATTGTTTATCAGGATATCCTTTAGCAGCTTCCACATTACCTTTTCTTATATCTCCAATATCACACTACTGCACCCTAAGGATTCATTGCACATGTCTGCACAGAGTCTTTCTGGTTGGAATAAAGCACAAAAAAATTGTCTAGTCTCCTTAACTGATTTTAAACACAAAGACATTTTAAAGACTAGAATAAAACAAAAAAAAACAACTCCTGCACACTGGAAAAATGTTTTTTCAGATTTTTTAAAACGCTTAAACGTCTTTTATTTGTTCCTAAGGGTTAAATAAATTTACTTACGATTTTGTGGGTGCAAGTAAGACAAATGGCATCATGGAGTCAGCATCATTCATCTGTATTTCACCCTTTGTCATGTCCTTTAGATACAACTACTGTAAATCTTTCATAAGCCAAAGTTTATATTCCTGACATCAAGAAGAAGAATTTACAAAAAGAAAGAACAAGATGAGGAAAAAAAAAAACAATGGGCTATTGCATAGTTGAACTTGCCCCTATATTGAACAACACTGAGAGCTCATAAACTCCCATATTGCTTTATGGATCGTTGGCTCTGCAAAGATGAGCACTCTTCTTCTCCTCTGTGATCCTCCATATTGCTGTGGGTACGGGTTGTGTGGGACACAATGGCAGTGAAGGGACCTGAGCTATGGTGATAAATGAGATTTGCTGACCACACACATGCACACACACACACACACACACACAAACACAGATGAGTTATTAGATGAAATGATTTAAGAGCAGCTACAAATTCAAAGGAAATGTGTGCAAGGATCTGAAATTGGTAAGATCAATAAGCGTATGTGTGTGTTTGTTGGTGTGTGTGTGTGTGTGTGTGTGGAGATGAAAGGTGAGCGGGCATCTGTAATAATCTGTTATTGAAACCTACTTGCAGGTGTGCGAGGTTATGTCTGTGTGCGGTGATAAAAGATCAGAGGGGAGAGGTGAAAAGTCAGGAAAAAACAACTCTCAAAAGCCAATATCAGCCCACAGTACTCACATGCGCACACGCACACACACACACACACACAAACAAACAAACAGACAGACAAAAAGAGAAATAGCACTCATTCAGGGTGAGTAAGCAAGGTAAGGCCGGGCAAAGAAAACAGAATTGAAAGAGAAAGCGGGGGAGACAGAGAAAGAGAGAGAGGGACACGATCTTGTACTCGTCAGAGGGGGAATGATGTCCGGGAGCATTAGCATTCATATCGACACGCACTACTGTAAACGCTCTTTTTTCCGTCTAGATCCATCTACTGTACCTCTTCCTCTCCCTCTTTTCCGAATTTCTTTTTTTCTCTGCCCTTAGCCATCCATTTCTCCGTCTCTGCCCTCTCTATCTCTCTCTCTCGCTCCCTCCATTCTTCTTTCTCTCAGCCTGAGCGGTAAACAATGTAAGTATTGAGCCTTTTTTCCTCCGTTAATGCAGCCGGTGACACAGGGTCCATGTCCACTTGACAGCTCCGGGGTGTGTGTGTGTGTGTGTGTGTGTGCCTGTCTATGCCTTTGTGTGTGTGTGTGTGTGTGTGTGTGTTCGCGGGGTGTGAGAGTAGATATCTGCCAGTTAGGGCAACAGGCAGAATATCCCCACAGTCATGTCTTGTGCAGACACACAGACAGGCAACTCTTCGAACAACTTTATATCTACAAGACTGCATTTCTTGCGCTTTTTTAATGGAAACTTTTCTTATCAAAAAAACACAAACCTATAAACTTTCATATCAAAGGTCATTCCTCTGGTGAGGACGGAATAATGTCAGTCCATGCGGTATAATGTGTGTACACAGCGACCAGTGAGAGGCACGTTTCTCTTTTGTTTAACTGTAGCTGAGTCACATACTGGAGAGTGTAGGTTGACAGTTCAAAGAAGTTCAAACAGGAAAAATGTTAGATCATGGTTTGGGTTAAAATAACTACTTTGTTGCCATGGTTGCAATCACAAACGAGAGGTTAAGGCAATAGAACGATTGTTGTCATCGTTAAAAGACAATCTGTTTGAAAAGGGAAACGAACGACAGCCTTCTGTGTCATGGTCCAATGTTTTGACGACCCATCCATCCATCCACCCCGGCCTCCTCCCTACATGCTCTGTAACATCCCCTGGACTCAATCACTAGATGTCGCTTTACTATAAAACGTAAGCTGGGTAGTAACAGCTACTTGCACAAACACAATCTTTGGGATCGTTTTTTTTTTTTTTTTTTACGGGACAACCATCTCCATCATTTGGTGGTGCCGTCTTTGGCATCAGAAAATTATGCTCCAGTCCTTCTTTCCTGAACCATTTAGGTATTAAGGCAGCAGGTCCTCCAGGTCTTCCTCTACTTCCTCTATATTCTGTGCTGGCTCCATGAGGCTTGTGTGTGAGTTTGAATCCACAAAAAAAAGAAAAAGAAAAAGAAAAAAAAATCTTAGCTGCATAACACAGTGTTGCTGCTGGCATGTCCCTTCAAGTTGCTTTTCTAGCTGAAACCGTCTTTAATCTCCCTAAATTGAATTACAACTTAATCCCGTCTCACACCATTCTCCCTGGAACAGACAAACGACTTTAGCAACAATGACAGAGCCTCCTTGTGTATTTAGAGAGATGTAGTGCTTAATGCAGGACAGGTAGGAGCAGAGAAATGCCTGAATGTACGCGTGCAGGCATGTACGAATTCCTGATCCATCCATGACGTGAGAGACAAAGGCCGACAGTTACCTTCTCGCTTATTCTCACTGACATACTGCGCTGTGCTTGTTCTCATTTCTCACTTCATCTCGTCTCCTTCCCTCTTCTTTGGCTTTTATTCTCACCGCGTCTGCCGTCTTATCATGCTGCTGTCCTCCTGTCGCGGTCTCACACCCTTCTGTTTGCATTAGCAATGACTTAATACAGCTTCATCATCGCATAAAGAACAGTAAACAGGGACGCTGTTATCAATTAGATAAATTTGAGCAAGGTTAAATACATGCATTTTGTTTCCCGGTGAAGGTGGGAAATCTGAATCCAGTGTGGGAAAATAACTATAAAGGGAGATGATAACTACATTTTAATACACTGAATAGCTAATCCAGAAAAGATGCAGTGTGTGTCAAACATGGGGTTCAACTTTAACAGAACTCGAAGGATTGCAGCTTTAATGTCTGAACACTCTGCAAAGGTTACTTCAACTTAACTAACATTTTGTTTTGTCCGAATTCCTCTAGAGGCAACACTACATGTCACTGCATTGCTGTTGTAAAATGAAGATTATGAGGCACTAGCAGTGAGAGAAAAGCATATATACATCAAACGCTGTAACCTCTGGGTTTGTGCCATAATGGCTGACTGAGTAGGTGGAGCAGCAGCTGCAGGGTTCAGCAGAGCAACATGCACATGCCATAAGTAAAACAGAGCAGGGTCAAGGCTCTGGCACAAGGTCACCGCTCCGTTCACTGGGTAGTCGTGTATTTCCAGCACAGGAATATAACAAAAGACAGACACTTCATCTGCTGTTTCCTGCAGTTCCGGTTTAGTAAACTTGAATTTCGCAAGACAATTTCTCACTCAAACTGCAAGAAAACTATCTCAAGTGTCCACTTGATAAACAGCGTGCATGATGTAAAAGTTGGCTATCAAACATCCAAATGCATTCATTCAGACACTCGAGATGTTTTTCCCTGAGAGGGCCAAGTGAGCGATGCAAGTCTGCAGTGATGTATTATCTAGTAAACCGTGCTGTGGATTTACAGGGATGTTTGTTAACAGTTTATCTGATGGTGGCATGAGTGTTGGGAAGCAATAGAACTCTTGTGAGTGGAGGAAAACTGAGTTTGAATTGTGGACCTCATAGATTTTTGCGTGGGTTTGTAGTGGCAAAGCACTTTTTTTTGGGGACAAAGCAGAGGTCACAGTCGAACGCAGCATACGGCCCACAGAGCAAGGACACACATTACTGCATCATCCTTCACGCATGTGAAGTGGAACACAGCTCACTATTGAAGAATTTATTCTGCTTTACTTCTACTGCTTTGGCACAGCCTGATCAATAATGTTCAAAGTAAATAAACCAAGGTAGAAAAACAATAACTACATTTTTAAAGGCATGGGGACATTTTTCTTTCTTACTCTAGAATATGTGACCCCACTGTCGCCTCGATCACCTGTGTTATCGTTTCCAATTCATTCTTCAAGTTCAGAATTATTGATTAGACTGGTCTGTACCCGAGGAATAAGAAAGGAGACTCATTAAATTAAGCACATTTTGTCTGTCGGAGAAAATTGAACATTAACTGAATGGAATAATTGATGTGTGCGGAGCTTATGTGCCTGTTCGCACGCAGGTATGTTGGATTTTTAAGGGGTCATGTTTGGGGTTTATTTTGAAAAAAAATGAAGTGATAAATGAAATGTTATCACTTCATTTTATTCTTATAGACATTTGAGTTGAAGTTATGCCCAAAAACATGTTTTGTGAGGTCACGGTGACTTTGACCTTTGACCACCAAATTTTAATCAGTTCTTGTTTGTGCCAAATTTGAAGAAAATTCCCTCTGGTGTAACTGAGATATCGCATTCAGGAGAATGGGACAAGCTGAAAACATAATGCCCTCCGGCCCTGGCAGTTCCCAGCATGGAGGCGTAACAAGGGAAGGTGTGGTTGTGTGGTAGACGTGTAATTTCACAAGGACACACAACTCACATTTCCCTTGAATTTTTTTGATTCGATTCAAGTTCGTGGAAGCATTTTCTGTCAGCATCAGAGCTGTAACAGTATGAGGCCGAAAACTCCTCCGCTATGAGCTGCAATTCCATTCAAGAGAAGCTCCTGTCCATCCCTTCATCACACACGCACACACACACACACACACCTCAGCCGACACACTCCCACACGCCTGGCTTTAAACGAACCCAGGAGCCTGGACCACATCAGTGGTGGACGGTTATTACCCGAGCCCACCAGCCTTCATCCTCCTCCTCCTCCTCCTCTTCCTCATCATCATCATCATCATCACACTCCTGAGGTGGTGCTGACACGGCAGCCATGCAGCTTATAGGCTCAGCTCTCACATGGTGCTTGCTGTGTATGAAATGAAGAGTTTCACTCCAAAATGAGGAAAAAAAAATCAGCAACGACTGATGGCACAAATTAACCTCCAGTGTGGTACTTCTTTTTAGTTGCCCTTGGTTAATAGAATGGCAAAACTTTTACAGACAGCTAATAATGAATGTCAAATTTATGGTATTTCAGAGCTTTTATGTACATTATAATACATTGCTATTATATAGAGAACTCTTCAAAGACATATAAAAAGGTCAGCATGACCTCTTGTAAGCTTTTCTACACGCTGAATGAAACAATTTTATTCATATTTTAGGAAGGAGTTCATGCTTAGTTCACTGAGCTCATACGGAACGAGAGCCAGACCCACAAAACAATTACGTGATAGAATTATTGCGAAGTAAATCAAAAGAGCAAAGAGTTGTTTTAACTCGGTTCCAAATGTGCAAATCAGGAAATGCAGAAGTAGCACCTGTGATTCTTTAATCTTTTTCTAATCAGCTCTCCTTTCCAAATCCTTATCTCTGAAGGTGCAGCTTGATGAGACGTCATGTCACTCCTGGAAAACTTTTAATTTCCTTTGCTCGTTTTTTTTTTTTTTTTTTTTTGGTGGATCTTTGGTGTCAGTGCTCGTCTGACTTTATTTCCTCATTTTCTTTTGGTGTGTCTGTTTGCAAAGCACGACAGGAAGTCTATAGGGAGTCAAAAAATGAGCTCATTCAGTTTGTAAACACAGTCTGCCTGCCATCTCTTTCTGAAGCATTTCTGTGCTTTAACTTATGCTTTTAATTTGCACAATAACCTACTCATTCATGACTTGTTAGAGCGGTTAATTTAGGTATGTGATATACGATTATTCTATATTATTATCTGTAGATTTTTTTTCTTGATTAACTCGATTAATGTCCATTAAACTGATCTCAAACACTGTCACATGTTTTGTGATTGCTCTGATGAATATTTTTCTATTACCCACATCACAACTGTGGAATCACATCATCAGGTCATTGAGTGGAGGTGTAATGCGACCTTGCATTTAAGCTGCATGCACGACCAGGTCTGTTCCACCAATCCTGAGGCAAGGAAAACGCAGATGTAGCCCGAGACACAAAACCCATTTAGAGCTGAAACTGTAAATGAAGGGTGGAGAAATTATGACATCTTTCAATGTAAAAAAAAAAAAAGCTTAAACATTAGTTACCCAGAAGAAATAGCAGAAGTCACAGTGAAGGTAGGTCAGTGAAACCTGACATATATAAGAGGAATTGTCATTAGTTTCGGGTGTCCTGGCTTTACCATGAGTTTAACTTCAAACTGTCCCTGATAGATCTAAGCGGCTGATCCGGGGCCAGCGGGGTTTCACAGCCATCAATCATCTCTCAGCGGGGTCCTTTCCCCTTCCTGCTCACCAACTGCCCCCCCCCCTGTAGCTCCACTTCCTCTTTGTCCTTCTCTGATTTTCTAACCCCTTCTCAATCTTGTCCTCTCCTTCACCTTTAACTTGTCTTCACTCCCTCTCTCTTCTTCTTTCTTTCTCCTCCATTAACACCATTTTCCCTCTTTCCCCTCCTTTTCCTTCTTCCATGTCTGCCCCGGGGGCATTCCCATGTATCTTAATCCCCTAGCCTAGCAGTCACTATGACTCATCATTCCACACACACACACACACACACACATACACATCATGAAATGTACTTAAAGGCATGAGTGTCAACACACATCAACACTGGACCTCCTCCATCAAAAGGGCAATCATTTCTCAGCGGGCGCTGGAATCTCACCTGCGACTCTGACACAGGTGGGTATGGGGGGGGGGGTCATTTGTATAGCAGATGTGTATGTGTGTGTCTGTGTATCTGTGTGTCTGTGTCTGTGTCTGTGTGTGTGTGTATGCGTGAGTCAGACCCAGGTTTAATGACTCGTCCTAGCCAATTTTCAGCCGGTGGCTTCTCTTTGTGGGGAAATGAGGTTTGTAGTTAATGTAGCACAGAAGGGCTGCCTGTGATCATGTGTATATATGTGTGTGTGCGTGTGTGTGTGTGTGTGTTAGTTCCAGTGAGCTGGCTCCAAGCAGAATATTAGTAGGAACCATATGGGAGAAATCATTATGAAGGAAGGTTCGAGAACATTTATGCCGCGAGGCCTCTGTGTTTCAGTATCGTATCTAAGGAGGGATACGCCTTTGGTGTAAATGTGTGTGTGTGTGTGTGTGTGTGTGTATGCTTATTTGTGCTTGTTCAAGTGTGTTTAGCTTTGTTCTCCTCTTATAAATCACATTACGGTGTGTGTGTGTGTGTGTGTGTGTGTGTGTGTGTGTGTGTGTGTGTGTGTGTGTGTGTCCATGTTGAGCGAGATTCACTAATTTGAGTATTCCAAGCACGGCAGTCGCCTTCAAATTGTGTACAAAGTGAAGTGGCGTGTCACAAATACAACAAGCCACAGAGATAATGAAACACGTACAAACACTCAAACACACACACACACACACATACAATGCACAACAGCTGCTGTCCACACTGTCATTTTGCCCCCCAAAATGAAAAACACACACACACACACACACACACGCACAAAAGCACCACCACCCATGCAAAAAATATCCTGCATGTTAGCACACATGCACGGCTGCACATGTAAGCACATACACACACACAAACAGTCAGAGGACCGGGTGGGGGTGTGGGGATGGGGAGTGTGTTGTGGGGCCGGTGGGGGGTGGTTGC